AAAAAAAAACCTTTTATAAATAACATTTTAATCGTGAAACTTCAACGGCAACGAAAATAAAACGATTTACAATGTGTTCAACTATCTAATGATTTTGTATTATATTAGGGGTGAGGTACGTGCATCTGTTATCATTGACGGAAATTACAATTTGTAACCATTGTTAATTGTGATAGTTAGTTATCATGTTGTGTGTACATTTATATCTATTATTATTATATATGATTATATATCATATATAATAATGTTTTTTATTTTTGTTTTTCAATCCGAAGATTGGTTTTTAACAAATATTTTACAATAAATGACTTCTCCATTTTTCTATATCATTCGCCATATTCTTAAGTTCCCTGTAGGAAGTGACTCCTGCATCCTGCATTATTTGACTAATATATCTCGTCCTAGGTCTTCCTCTTGATCTTGTACCCTATATTATTCCTTTAGTTATTAAACTATGCAATTAATCTCTATACCTTAACGTGTATCCTATAATTTGCCATATTCTTCTCTTTATAATGTCTATCAATGTTTGTTTTTCATCTATTGTCCTCAGGATATCTTCATTCGATCTTCTATCAATCCAGCTTATTCTCTGCATTTTTCTCCAACACCACATCTCCAGAGCTTCTAACATATAATAATAATTATTAGCATTAAAATATTATGTACTTGGGAGGTTAAGATCAAAAAAGAGGCTGTAACGATTTTACGAAAAAAATTATAATAAGAAAAAAATTCTAAGTCATTCATGGTTTGGTATGATAGGAACGCATAATTTGCACTTACATTCCGTGACCAATCCTGTTGCATCTGAACAACGTAATTGAATTACATGGGTAGTTATGGGGTAAATTTTATTTGTTGACTAAAATAAAAAAAGCGATTTATTATACGCGTTGAAGTCATTTTCCACATGGTATCTGTTTTTTTTTTTTATCTTATTTTTTATTATTTTAAATTGATTTTTCTTGTGTCATAGACTGTTAAATAATGGAAAACTATGATTGTAATCCCTTTGAAATCATGACACACCGGTGCATAGGACAATAAAGAAAAAAAAATTATTAATGTTATTTATACTCAACCGTATAACTCTCCTAGTTGTACTTGTCAAATGAAAATCTTCCAGTAGATAAGTTATCAAATTATATAATTTTAATTCAGTTATTCTAGTGTCCTATATTTCTTGCCTTGTTTAATTAAATATTGATTGTATGTTTAATTTTATACGAATAAAAATAATAAACTATTTTTAGAAAATTTTGTATTATTAAAAGCATTTTATTTCGGAAGACACTATAATTAATGGTCTAATACGGATATACTGATATGGATATCGAAATTTTAAAATTGAAATACATTTTAATGTTGAATAATATATAAATACGTTTATAAAGCTATAGTTAAATGTCTTTGTTCAACAATTTTTTATTTATTTAATATTTTTAGGTTTGAACATTGCAAATAAAAAACTGTGAATAAAAAATATGTCATGAGCTTATAATCAAAGCAAGTCATAACCTACCTATCCCTTAGCTTAAAGCTATTAAATACTTAGGTCTAAACGTTGATAAAAGACTAACATGACAAAATCATTTAAAAAAAAAAGATTAATATTCAATGCCCGTTCCGAATCTCTAATAGTAGTACTTACAAAAAAAATAAATTCCCATTTTTAAAAATTAAATTATAAATATAAACTTCTGAAACCTATATGGACGTATGATAAATAACTATGAGGATCAGCAAAAAAATCAAATTTAAATATAATTCAGGTGTTCCAAAATATTACACTTCGAAAAATCACTAATGACCACTTTTTGTCTCTAACCTGATCCTCCATAAAGATCTAAGTAAACAAACAGTAGAAGAAGAAGCTGCTGCTTTACCAAACGTTTTTATAATTGGTTAGAATACCGTGAAAATCTTCTAATAAATGGCTTACATATCCTCTCACATCCTGGAAATCCCTGTCGCAGATTGAAAAGAAAATAGTGTATGGATCATCTAACTTAATTATAATCTTAATTCTATTAACGTAACGTTCAAGCTAAGTGTTACTAATGGGTAGCTTCTTATTCAAGTAACCCCATAATGTTTTTGATAGTCCAATCTAACATATACTCATTGTACTTAATTTTATTTAATCTATAACAATTTATTTCAAGTTCTGTTCTCTACGTGGATCTTCTACGAAGCATGGGCTTCTGCATGGGGCAATGGTTACAGTTTACGGTGTGAACCCGTAGATTACTCAATGAGTCCATCTGCTATGAGGGCAAGTGTTTTTATATTAACATGTGTTATAATAAAAAATAAAATAATTTTATTATAAACCATGTACATTGTCGTTTTTAATAAAATTAATTAATTAATTTTAATTATAATAAAATAAATGTATTATGAAATAATTTGTTGTTAAACCATATGTGTAAAGCAAATAGACATTTTAAATTGTTTTATTTATTAATTTATAATTTATAAATCATGATTATTTTGAACAATATTAAAATAAAAACATAATTATATAATTAAAATATTGTATACACATATTATAATACGCACAACATTATTATTTTACCGAGTAACTGAAATTGCCTATCCATTACGCCGTCTAACACGTCTTTTGTTTTCTCATCCGTAGGTGGCTCGTGGTTGTTGGTGGTACTACATTTCTAAGTTTACAGAATTCTTCGATACCGTAAGAAAATACGAGATTTAAAGGCAAAATACAATTTTATATTAATAATCGTTGTTATTTCTCTTGTAGTTCTTCTTCGTCATGCGTAAGAAGTACGACCAAGTTTCCACCCTTCACGTTATTCATCACGGAATCATGCCAATGAGTGTGTGGTTTGGCGTTAAGTTCACTCCTGGTAAGTTTTACACGGTAAAACGTTTAAGGATTTAATAAAATGTTCATTTGCACAACTATTATCAGGTGGCCACAGCACGTTCTTCGGTTTCCTCAACACATTTATACACATCATAATGTACACGTATTACTTGTTGGCCGCCCTTGGACCACACATGCAAAAATATTTGTGGTGGAAAAAATACCTGACTGTACTTCAAATGGTATGTAATAATATTATATATATATACGCAAAATAATAACATTTTAGCGAAATAATTCTTACTCGTTGTTTTTGTCCGTTTTTCAGATCCAATTCATCATGGTGTTCCTCCATGCATCTCAACTGTTGTTCACCGATTGCGATTATCCGAAGGCATTCGCCTGGTTCATTTTGATGCACGCTGTCTTGTTTTACTTCTTGTTCTATAATTTCTACAAACAATCCTACACAAAGAGGGTATGAATTAAATTAATAATCATTTCATAACCATTATCCATCAATATCTATTTAGTTTGCTAAATTTTGTCCAAGAAGAAAATCATTTGATAATATTGCGTCAGGGATTTTAACATAATACGATACATTGATGTTTATATGGTAAACTATTTGTTATTTTTTAATTGATATTAGAAATTACAATTTAGTCGTCTACTTTTCGTCGTACTCGATTTCTTGTTTCGATACCACACAGAAGTTGTCCACATGACAAAACTATAGGAAATGACATTTGACCAAATCAAATTATCGTTTTTCCTACTCATGATTACTAAATACTCTGTCTTGTAGACACTTGTACTTTATATAAATTAGAGAAATTAAATTTGAATTTTTCTTACATGGACGCTGGAGACTTTAAACCATTTTCGTTTATTTTAATTTATATATATTATAAGATCATTAAATTTCTCTCAAAGTTTTAAAACTTGAAATTAGAACTCATATAACTGTCCATTTTCTCTTTGCACCCAATTATTAGGTCTTCATAAATATGAGTATTTATGTATACTTCCTCAATAAATTTCTCCACCAATAGTAATGAGAACTAATGTTATAATCGGATTTGCACGGTATCATGTTCTAATATTATTGTAATTTGTTCACGCAGGAAGTGAAACAGAAGATTTCGCAAAAGAAAAAAGACGACGACGACCGAGCGCACAATAGACCCGTTAGGGTCATTTCAGAGGCCGAACGACAAAAAAACAAATCTTTCTGGTCCAATATGAGTTTATTGACCAATATTCCATGCTTCTTGCCAGCCGTCACCGATGTCGACGAGGATTCTAGCGACGAAGCCATCAAAAACAACACGGTGTACTCGATGCCGCCCCACAATAGCATTACTACGAATGCCTTCATGTCAGGAGAAACGTCATTCCATAACAGAGCGTTCGTGTCGAAATCGTCAAATGCGTAACACCCTACTGAGTCACTGTCCTCTCTCTCCCGCTCAACCATCTGATAAAAGAAGACATTCCCTAGAACGATTTATCCTTTCCTTCCCTCATTCGTAATATGCCAGCATAACATTTATACCAACCGAAATCGTGTGATTTAATAATTTTTGTTTTATTTAATTATCGAGGATAAATATAATAATATTAATTACTTACCGTGTGGTGGGGGAGGGGGTTGATAGAATATCATCGAAATTATATCGTTATAATATTAATAAAAATAATATAGTAGTACATCTACGTCTAAAAAATCATCAATGTTATGACTGACTATATTCCATGTAATACTGCAATTATTGTGACGTAAATAATTATTATGATAATAATATTAGTATTATTTATATTGTATTACTATTTATAATGCCTTGTGTGTGTGTGTATTTATTCTTTTTTTTTCTTTTTCTTTTGTACTTACAATTTTAAAAAAAAACCTTTTATAAATAACATTTTAATCGTGAAACTTCAACGGCAACGAAAATAAAACGATTTACAATGTGTTCAACTATCTAATGATTTTGTATTATATTAGGGGTGAGGTACGTGCATCTGTTATCATTGACGGAAATTACAATTTGTAACCATTGTTAATTGTGATAATTAGTTATCATGTTGTGTGTACATTTATATCTATTATTATTATATATGATTATATATCATATATAATAATGTTTTTTATTTTTGTTTTT